GGCCCAGTCCCTCACCCCCAGCCAAAACCTTGCAATATCTGTGCGCTTCCTGAGAAAAAGCCTAGAGGTGGTAGCAAACTGCACCCTTCCCCCTCCTCCTCCTCCAAGCCACATCTTTTGTCTCTTAAGTATTGTAGTTATCATCTCAGAGGAAACAAATGGGAGAAAATTCCCTCAGAGAAGGAAGAAAAAAGGAAAAGTCCTAACCTCCAACATTCCTGTTGCACTGTACTGGCTCTGGAGCTTCTGATTCATGAGGTCTTTTGAGACTTATGTGTTATACTTAGAAATGGCATATGACGCTCCTTTGCAGACTATTTGCTCAAATTCTGCATTTCAATCCAAAAGTACCACCAGCTGGACAAAAACGTTTGACTAATCTGCTGTTTTTGCTGGTGCTGTCACACAGTCCCAGGACTCATGACTGCTGTGCTTCATAGGGCTGCAGCCAGATACTCTACATGTTGAATGATGTAGTGTAATGACAGTGGTCAGGCTTTTTCCATCCTGGGAAGTTTCCACACCTTGGCTGAACATGGCCTCTGTCACAGCTGGTCATGCTTTGACATGTTCTGCCTTTCTGCAGGGCAGGAAGTTTTTCCTTACCCTCCTGGCCTGTTCCCGCTACTGGTACATGGATGTGCCTGCAGCAGCAGTTCTCTAAAGCCACAGGAGTATGAAAAACATGGTGATATTTTTTCATTCATCTCTTCGTTCTTGAAATTTTTATACTCATGCTTTTCAGCTTCTCTGCAAATCAGAAACAAAACTTTCAGGAAGCTTACCTTAAAATCAAGAAGACTGGTAAACATGAGTTGATGGTCCCCAGAGAAGGAATGCAGCAGAGTGGACAGTACTGTTTTGCAGCAGCAGAAGGCCCATCCACCACTGTCTATCTCTGTCCCACTGTCTCAGGGTGGAATGCATCTCCTGGGGCTTGCCACTGGTTTGTAGCAGCAGTGTTATTGGGAATCAGTCTTTGTTCTTTCCCCTCCTTACCTCTACTCCTGGAGGCATGATGGAACGGTCTCATCCCTTTAGGGCTAAAGCCATATGTGGAGTGTAGAGACAGGTCTGTGGCAAAGAGGTGAGCTAACTCTCACAGGAATCCTTTGTTTTGTGTCTTTGTGTTTCATGGAGGCGAGAACTACAGAGGAGAAAGCTTACTTCATATTACATGAAGGAGGGATGTGTGTGATTCCCACCCTTTCCTCATGTTGTGACAGTCGGTGTGCGCAGCATACTGCGCGTCTGTGCATCCTTGGATGGCTGATCCGTGGTGTTTGTTTTTGAATGGGGCGAGGGCTGTCTGCTAAGAAGTGCTGTCAAGAACTGTAGTTGATGGACGTTGGAATATCTGGTGAAATTTGTGAAGCAGTCATGCAATGTTCATTCATCTACCTTAGTTTCACTTAGGGCTGTACCATTTGTCTGCCCAAGTCTTGTGGTGGTAATAACAGGGCTTGAAATTTTCTCCCCCACTTCTCTTTTTCCCCTCCCTTTTCCATGTTTCTATGTTTCTTTCCTCTCATTTTCCTTCTTTCCCTCCTTCTCTCTCTCTCTCTCTCTCTCTTTTTCTTTCCCCCCTCCCCCCGCTCCAGCAAGGCTGATGGATATGCAGAGTATGTTAAGAAGCGAGCAATACTGTCACTGAGCTGATGGTGCTCAGTGACTCCTCGGGCTTCTGGCTGGTCTGTACTGCAGGAGCTTGACACCCTGACCACTGAGGCATAAAAAACAGAGAATTGGAAGCCTCAGCCTGACAGGCACTGGAGCATCCCCCAGAGAGGGTCCACGATGTGTGTCTGTGTGTGAGTGTGGGGAGGAGGGCAGTGGGGATGGTGGGGGAGGAGGGCAAGACAGGAGAGGATGGAACAATGAAATGTCAGCCCATTCGCACCCACAGCCCTGCTGCAGCAGTGATAAACGCTTGGAAAGTGCTGCTGCCCACTCCATGGCATGCACAGCATCAGCACGGAATGGACCGTTGTCTGTGCAGCTCCGGGAGAATAGGACAGGGGAGGGAGAGAGGGATAGAAAAAGGGAGGAAAGGATCAAGGGAAAGGAGAGTGCTGGGAGAGCTGAAAATGAGGCATCATGTTGTCCAAGGGGAGAATGCTTCCCCTTGGGATGAAGCTCTTGCAGGCATAAAGCAGCTCATGGTGAGCTTTGTTTCAAGCCTGGAGTGCTCCTGGTGCAGGAATGACAGGACAAGCTTTTCTGTGCACTCTGTGCAAAGAGCCCACAACAGCGATCTCCATCTCCTGTCCTGTCCACTCTGCCCCTGGCTCCATGCACTGCACAGCTCTCAGGAACGATGCAGCAGCAAGGCTCACTCCCATCTGCTTTTGTGTGTCACGTCAATCAGGCAGCAACTGTTTTGCGCCACTAAACCAGAGCTAAACCTTTGAAAATCTCACTTCCCTGTGGAAAGGAAGAAATGCGACCCCTGGGGAAGGTGGTGTGTGATAGCCTTCTTGTAGAACAGGCACCCAGAGAATGACAGGATTTCAGTGAATGTGACTGTGACTTCAGGCCTGGGAAACACTGTGACTCTCACAAGTGAAGTTCCCAGACGGACCTCTGCCTGTGTGCTTTGCAGGCTTGGGCAAAGACCAGAAACACAGGCTGGGCTACAGATGAGCAGGATGCCCAGGAGCTATAGAAGCAGGGAAAAATCAGGGAGGACTCTGGGTCAAACAACAGCCTTAAGTGCTTTGATGCAGAGGCAGAAAGGACCTAAGAGAAGCTGCTGTGTCCTGCAGGAGAGAGATGGATCGCTGTCTGGTGGAAGGCAATGGGGATGCTTTTGTCACTGGCTGCAGTATGTTGAGCATCCCTTTGGGCATTGTCAACTTTTCTATGCCTTACTCTTTTAGAAGAGCACTCTGACAGAGGTAGCCTTCAGGCACTGAAGTCATCCATCAGCCATAGGGACAGGAGCAGAGAACTGTAGGTACTGTGTACTTCCCTGTGAAGAAAGGTTTGAAACAGCTCCATTTTTCCTGGCACAGGGTGAAGTACTGCCATTCCTTAGAGGCAATAAGGAAAACTCCGAGCTTGTGAGGAGATATTGGCACAGCAAGGTGTGGAAGCACTTGCTGCTGCATATTTTGGACCTTCTCTCTATGGAAGCTGTGCTGGGGAGAGGGAGTAGGTTGCTCGTTGTAAGTGTCATGGGTCCAAAGGGCTGCAGAAAAGAAACAAGGAAGAGATGCTAACAGAGACTTCCTGTAGCAGACAAATGATGGGCTGGTCTGGCCGTCAGCACACTCGGTCTGTTCATCTCGTGATGCAGACAGAGAGGCAGCTTGTTTTTCACTGAAGCAGAATCATGTGGAGATCAAGCCATCCTGGACCTTACCATATGTTTTGGTGACCAGAGCATCATCCCCTCTTCCCCGGCACCAGTGTGCCAGCAAATGGCCTAAACCATGGCTACTGACTGGCCAGGAGACCCAGATGCGGTTTCCAGGCTGGATCTACAGATTGTATGGGACAAGGGTGCTTGAGCTGCTCAGGACACACTGCCAGGGGTCCACTGCCTAGCTCCTGGATGTGGGGTCATGGCTATGCCAGTGCCGAGCACCAAAGCAGGCAAAGGTCATAGCAAGCATCTGCTGTGGCCTGTCAGCCCTCAAATCTTGCCTTAGGAAACATACCCTTTCTCCTGCTGTGCTGTGCTTTTATATATTTACATGTGGGAGAGGGAGAAGGGAAGGAGGAACAAAGAGAGAGAGGAGGAAATCTGTAATTCAAGGAACATTTCCTAATAAAACAGCAGCAGTGTTGGCATTTGTGTGGTGGAGGGGCCAGGTAGAGCGCCATGGTGTAAGGCTCTGTTCTGAAGAGCTTGCAGCTGAAGTATGAAGCAGGTGACATATGAAGAGAACAAACAGATGGGAAGAATGGGAGCTGATGGGGAGATAAATAGCCATAATTTTTCAAGCCTTTTTTGTGCTTTTGTCTGGAGGGTTCAAATCTGTCTGAAACTAAAGCAAACATCCCTCTCCTTGGGTTACAGTGTTGGAGAAATATCTGGGACCATGGCAGGTTTTCCCTGAAGGGTATCCAATATCTAGAAACTGTCTGGTACATCTTCTCCTGCAGCAGAGACCATCTGGACAGCCCTGTCCTTGTATTGTGCTTCTCTCCTGAGTCCTGTAGGGCTGGAGAGGCAAAGGCCAGCCCCATCAGTGTGTCCCAGAGGCCTGGGATGCAGCACAAAAAGCCATGTAAAAGATGTTTGCACCCATTTACTTATCCTTTATTCCATATTCCCCTTCCTCAAGGCAGAGTGTCCACCAGTGCTTTTACTGTGGCTGTCAGTAGAGCAGAGCACACTCTGGAGAGCCCTTTTAACTCAGAATGGTAACTGTCATCTCAAGTCAAATGACCTTTTTTTCTGTCTTTGTCTCTTTGACTTAGGGAGCGAGTTTTCTGGGAGCCCATACAGCCACCCACAATATTCAACATACAATGACTCCTGGAGGTTTCCCAACCCTGGACTCCTGGGTAAGTGTTCACCCCTGTCTAGAGAGATTGTGCAAGGTGTGCAGTGTTTGTCCAGCCCTGGGATGGGCAGAATGTGTGTCCCAGCTTGTCCTCAGTCATGTTTACACCCAGAATGGGACTGCAGGTCCCCACTGGGATGCATGATTGCTCATGGTTCACTTTGCCAGCAAGATGGCCCAAATGTCTTGTCTTCCTTGTTTCTGATAAAAATCCTTCCAGAGACATGGGGCACTGCTGGAAAGCTGAGTCACCGAGTTTTTTGAGGGTACGGGACCCTGTTCAGAAAAAACTTGTGGTGCCAGTTTGCTTGCAGCCAATTGTAAGCTCCCCTGCTTCCTATGACATTGCTGCTGGCTTGTGTGTGTGCTTTGCATTTCTGCCTGATCTCATGTTGCGTTTGCTTCCCAGTTGTGTGTATGCCCACTCCATCTCTCCTCAGCAAGGGACCACTGGTACGGCCTCACTGATGCCAGCATGGTCCTTATGAGCAATGGGAGACAGAAGCCCTGTAACTCCTGCAGGATCATGGCCCTCATGTGAAGGATAAACATAATCTATTTTACACCCCGTCAAAAGCTGGCCCACTTTGACCTTATATACATGTAGCATGCAGTAATTAGAATTTTTCCCTGCATAATTTGCATGGATGAGGTAAGTAAAATACCAATTAATTGTCATCTCTCAACACAGGAGTAGCATGCCTTAGAGATTTCCAGATTTATGGATGACAGGGCTGTTATATGTGACCTCCAGCAGCGAAATAATTTTGAATTTTTGTCATACTTTTTTCATCCAGTTTCTTTGTTTTAAGTAATTGAGTCCCCATGTAATTGAACCACCCAGGCTGTATTCATCATGGTTCTTGTCCTTAAACAAATCCTTTGGGAGCAATAGACAGCCTCTGCCTCTCATGCCATGGTGCTGGTATAATGCTGTTATTTGCTGTGCCACATTTAAGGGTTTGTTAGCGCTTCCATCATAAATCAACAGACAGATCTTCAGCTAATATGGATGGGCATAGCTGCACAAAGCCAGGGGAGTCCCCGTGCTTAAACCCACTGTTTCCATGGCCACAGCCAGTGGTGCTGGCAGAATTTTGGTTGAGCAGCATGGGGAAGATGCTTTTGCCAGAGGCAAGAGCACACACCATGCTTTCTTCATTTCTCATTTTGCAACTCCTTTCGAATCAGTAAAGCTGCTTCAGCAATGCTCTGCATCATGGATAGGCCTGGGAAGCCAGGTTTTGTGCAAAACAACAACAACAAAAACTTTAAAAAAATCATTTCCTTCTGAAGTGTTAAAGAAATTGGCATGGTACTAAAAGTAAATGACAACCCAACTCTCATCCTGCTCTTCTGCACGAAGACAGGACTTCTGGAGAGGCTCCTGGGCTGTTTACTGTGTTCCTGCCGGGGGATATTCACCTCCATTAGAAGGGTGTGCACTCTTTCTGGAGCCATCCCAAAGCCATTCCTGAGCCACCCAGCAGTGCGGGCAGTGGCCCTTCCATTCTGTCAGCAGTAGGTTGGAGCCATGGCCTGCTCAGCCCTTTATTGGAGGCGATGGACCTGAACCAGCTCTGAGCATGCTGTCCACAGTGCTGGACAAGGCAGGTCACTGTGATGCCTTGAAGATGCTGAAGATGGGTAAGTCTGGGTCAGCAGAAGACTTTACACAGAGGCCAGTCATGAGACAACTGCTTGCTGCCAGGAACTTTTACCTGTGCCATATCCTTTTTTCTACATTGATCCTCTTTTTCTTGTTTCCTTTTTGGATCATGCATTTTGGGGGCAAATTCTGACTCATCTTTGACATATGAACAGTTATGGGCATAGTGTGCTTCTTACAGCAAAGCTTATTCTCTGGCTGGAGGGGATTTCTTCAGCAGATTTCTTCATGCATTTACCCAGAAGCATGCTGTGAACATGTGTTTACATGAGGCAAAGGCAAAAAGAATCAGAGGCTATAATATTTTTCAAGAAACTGTAGCTTTCTTGAAATTGAAGTGCTTCATGCTCTAATGTCAATGCGTATTTTGTTTTTTTTTAAGGAAAATGTAAAATATATAATCTTGGCTTCCTTATTTTTGTCCTCTTCAATATACTTTGTTTCAGCATTTGAAAAAAAAAAAGAAAAAGTGTGAGTTTTTGTTCTGCGGTCCTAAAGATGAACTTACCATTTCAGTTCAGTCTGATCACAGAACTGGGGGGGCTGGAGTTTCCTGGAGAGGGAATCCCCTGTCTGACCATGGGCAGGTCCAAGTACCATGGTATGATCTGATCAAGAATGTGTCTGCAATCAACTGCAGTCAATGGGTCAGATGTCTCTTGTGCCTGACAGAGATCCCTCTTATCCACAGCTCTGCCTTTGTCACTCGAAGCCTGATCCTACAATCCCTTCTCCCTAGAGCCTGCTAATCCCACTGGTAGTTTAGGGCAAGCAGGAGTCTGTGGCAGGGCCTTTAAACCTGCACACTCAGAAGGTGCTGTGTGATGAGCCTGGGCACACTCAGTGGAGAATAGGTTAATTTGAACTATATCCAGGATGCTTCCACTCCTCTCAGGAGTATACGTGAGTGCATTTAGTAATTCTCTCCCGAGAACAAGCTCTGGCAGTATCAGCCTCAGAGCAGAAACCTTGACAAAATTAATCAGGACTGGTACATTGCCTGACACAGTTTGTTTTACAAAGCCCCGCTCCTTTCACTGGGATGAAAGTGTAATACTGTAAGCACTTAGCAGCACCTACGTTCAATTAATTCCCTGTGCTGAGAAGGAAGAATTGCACTACAGCAATCACACAAGTCCGAGACATGTGAAAGAGGAGCTAAAAGCAAAAATGCCATGTTTTGCAAGTGGGGGAAAGGATACTTGGATTGAAAAATTGTATTTGGGTAGAGTAAAAAGAGAGAGATGAGAATAGTGAGAAAGCTTTGGTTTTTAGTCCCCAGTCTTTGTCCTGTATGCGTGGAGTAGCAAGGAGGGGTGTGTGGTGGTGTCTTCAGGGGAAGGCAGAACCATGCTCATGCAGACACTGGGAATTGGCTGTCTGGCCCCAGCAGAACATGAGCTACTCACCATTACCTGCTGTCTGCTCTGCCCTTGCTTTGATGCTTCTCACCTCTGCACCACACGCCAAGCCCCTTGTGCCCCAGCTGTTGTGAAACCAGTGCAGATGGGGGAATGTCCTCCCTCCTCTCTGGGCAGTCCCAAATTCTGTGCCCCATGGCTCCTGGGGAAGAGCAGACAATCAAGCCACGGTCCTTTAGAATGGTCAACAGAAGCAAGGGCAGAAGAAGTCAGTTACCTGCTGCAGCTTTGCAGTGTCTTCATGCTCTTGCATCCTGCATCACCCTGGTGGCGCCCACTCCTCTTTGGTGTCAGAGAGAATGTTTGCTGTGGGGAATGACTCAGTCCCACCTCAACCACAGAGCTCCTGGGGGAATGTGCTGGGAAGAGGACATAAACCCTGGCTACTTGTGTGGTCTGGCTTAGTGGCCGAAGTGGGTATCTCCATCTCTTAGCCAGACAAAGAGTTCAGGGAAGGAACACCTTTTTCCTTTCTTTTTTTCCCCATATTGTCCTGCAAATGACCTGCAAGCAGTACAGTGCAGGGATGCACACGGAGGCACATGCATGAGCCCACGAGAGGCAAATGTGCATGTCTCAGGCTCAGGCTGTTGGCACATGCAGGTGCACACCAGCATAGGATCAGCTCAACGTGTGCATGGTAAGGACAGATAACAGCACCACTGTCTAATGAAGAAGAAAAGGCCAGTTTTTGTTGGCTTTAGCACTTGTCTCAGTCCTGCTCACTGTGGGTTGTGTGGGATGCAGTGTCCCTGCTCACACGCAGATGCGGTTCCTGTGCACGGGCTGGGAGGGTTTGGCTGCACCATCACTGGGCCAGGTCTGGCAAGGCATCATGCAAGGGCAGGCCTTGGAGCCTCTCAATTAGGATTAGATTCAATTCCTCTGTGGGATTCTGTGGAAAGATTAGAGAACAAGTGGCACTAGAAATGACTGTGTCAAGAAGTAAATTGATGATAGTATGAATTAGAAAGGAAAAATGACAGAAGGATGGACTAGTCTGTTCTGGATGGAGGCATGGTGACAAGAAGAGTGAGTGATTTCATTTTTCAGTTTAAATACAAGCTTATTTGATTGCACAGCTGAAAGGCAAACTGGCAAAATCTAACTTGAGAGAAACGTAAGGCCTTTGGAATGCATGGGAGAAATATTGGGCTTTTTGTAGCTGCATTGAGTCAGAACAGATGTAGAGGAAGAGGGAGTGTGAAAACGAAGGCTCTGACCGCCAAAAGACCCCAGTTACCCGAAAACCTCAGAAAGCACTGCATCCAGCTCTGGTGGGACCCACACACTGCTCCATGAGTCAGAGTGAAATTGTTTGGGGCTGCTGGATTCCACCTGTGTGTTTCTCCTCCTGCCTGAGCTGAGCTGCCATGAGTAGTGCTAGTGCTGATGCCAGTGGGGACTGGGATCCCTGATGAGCTCCATCACTGCCGGCTCCACACTGAGCTCCTGGTGCTGTGATGGGTGAGGACAGCAGTTCTACCTGCCTCTTCACTGGCCTGTGAGCTGTTTTACCTCCAGGTACTGCCTGCCATGATCCCCAGGGACATCTGTGCAGCTGGACTGGCCATGAGGGGACATGGGCCAACAAACTGGGCATCCCAAGAGGGCAGCTCCCGAAGAACATCCTCAAAACCCCAGATAGACATGGCATGCACATTTCAAGGTCTGATCAGCTGTTAACTTTTGCCTTTGCTCATTCAAGAGTAGCCAATTCAGCCAGGGAAGTTTTCTCTGCTTTCAATGTCTTGAGTTTGGCTGGGATATGAAGGATACGGCATTTAATTTTAGGCTACCCATGAGAATGGTTTTCACTGTCCTTGTGAAGCTTTCCAGTATTCTCCAGGAAATATAGCTCGTGAGGCTGGGGCTCCTTAGCCCGATGTCAGTTACCTGAAAGAAGACTATCTGTCCAGCCCAGGAGAGCAGTTGTGGTGCCCTCAACAGATAACACAAGACTACACTTGTGTAAACATAAGTGGAATGATGACCTGCTGAAGGGATCTGCTTTAACACCGTTGACTATGGCTTAAAATATTTTTGCTTTTAGTAAATAAACCTAGGTCAGATTGGCTCCTGCCTAGGAATTTGTACAAAGACATCTTTGCAAGTGTTTATCCTGGTCAGTGATTTCACGGACTCTCTTGAGTATTCTTGTGTACAGTAAAACTGTCTTTCTAGTCAGCTCGACCACACTCCTGAAGATTGCTTTACTTTGTTTAAACCCTTCATGGTGGGTTTGTCTGATTTTGGATGTCTGCATCAGTAAGGATGCAACTGAGGACAACACAGACCCACACACTGTGTACGAGCTCCTGTTTTGCCCCAGCACAGTGCAGGAGGCACATTCCAGCAGCCAAAGTCCTCTGTTTCTGACCTCTCAAGGTTCCAGAATCAGAGTGCCACATGCTGTGGTAGGATAGTGATCATGACGAGGTTTTCTTCTCTGACCAACTGTGCTGAGCAGCACATTGCACATATTGGGCAAGAGCAAATGCTGCCTGTGCTCTGTTTTTTGGATGCATCAGCTTGTGCTCCCTTGGAAATGAAAAGCTGGAGGCTGGTGATGAAAGCTGAGCTGATCTCCTGATGTGGCACTCTGGACAAAAGCAGTCTAGAAGGAACAGCTGGGCTTGCCTGTCAGATTGAGCCTGTTGGATCCAGGACAGTGAGGTAGCCCTGCATTTTGCTAATGGTTATCAGCAACTTTCCCTGATTTTAGGGATTAGGGTAGCCTAAAATCCCTGTGTGATTCTTACTCTGTGCCTGGGCTTTTGAACCAGCAGCCCTCAGGTAATCACTCAGGTAATTTTGGAGTGAACAGCAAAGTGTTCCTTGGGAGGCTGCACAATAAGAGGAGACAGCAGGAGGGTGTCCATCCTGCCAGAGGGGAAGGCTTTTGGCTCAGCTCAGAGCATGTTACCAACAGCACCAGGCATGCCAGCTGGGTGCCCCTTGCAGCTCCAGAGGATGTGCAGGGCTGTGGTGCTGGAACAACTGGGGCACTGCTACACTCACGCCATGCCTAGGGGCTGGGCAACCACTGGACCTGCAGGGACAGTGTTTGCTAGTCTGAGATGGGAAGTGAACAACCAAAAAATGCACCTTTGGCTTCACTGCCACGGATGCTTTCCTAAGGGGTGCACAGTCCCCACCGAGGCGGTGTCACGATCCGTCCTAGTGAACGGATGTTGTGATGGTTCCTAGGGGTGATCTCAGGGTGCAAAAACCAACACGGTACAAGGGGTTTGCAGTGATAATCAAAACTAGTGCGCCTTTATTGAATGACCACAGCAAAATGCAACGGAGAGATTAAGGGAGAGAAAAAGATAGAGAAAGAGAGAGGAGAAAGAGGGGTTGTAGCTACCAAACATAGAGACAAAGTCCTTTGGTCCCGTCCAGTCGAGGATCCGCCTGTTATGTTGGGGGAGATCTCAAAATCTCTAGCTAACTCAGAGGTTTTTATTATGATAATTCTATTGAAAATTGTGAGGGCTGAGAAACAGATACAATAGGGAACAGATGTAACAGGTAGTCCATGCTCTCAGCAGTAAATGAGAGCCAATGTTTTCTCGGTTCAGTGGTCACAACCTGCAGGCAAACATCTCGCTTTGGTCAGCTTGCCTCCCCACACACCTGCCCTGGGCTGGGGGTTTCAGTCCCAGTCCTTGGAAGCAGCAGAGGGGCCTTTCAGGAGTGTCATGGTTTGGTATCTCTCTGGATACCAAAGACTCTTCCTCATTAAAACAAATAGTCCAAGTTCCTGGTGATCCTTGGGTAATCATCCGATCCACCAGTGCTTAGCCCTGCAGGACAGACAATTTTCACCAATATTTTTCAGGCCTTTTCTTGGTAAACAAGTGCTTTCATTGAAATACTTTGAATACTTTGGGGGTCAACCTCCTCCTTCTAAAAGGAGGGGGAAAATTAAAAGAAGTCGGAGCATGTTAGCATGTTGGGGTTGGAATATCTTGATTTTCAGTTATGAAAAGTAATTAACTTCTTTTCATGAAGTAAATGAAGTCGACGTTCTGAGTGAAGGAATGGAAGAAGGTATCGAATGGCAAGCAGCAATGCAGAGCAGCGGTAGCCTCCTTCTCATGCAGAATGAATGAATGAATGAATGAATGAATGAATGAATGAACGCATGCAGTTTCCATTCTATTTACCCAGCCTTTATTGAGGCTTTGGCTGGATTGCTCTGTGCCACCCGTTGTCAGAGCCCTGCGAGCTCTCCACCTGTGTGTTCCTCACGGCGGTCCCATCTCTCGCAGGCTCCCCGTACTACTACAGCG